AGCATTGATAGAGAACAGACAACTAAAACTGGAACCATACTCTAAAGTGGCCCGTTTATTGTGCTCTGAGGGACTCTTACCTTCTCTACCGAGGTCTGAGGAAAGGTGGTTCTTGGGAACGCAGCTTCCTGAGGTGCAAGGCATTAACACTGTTACAATTGGAACGGAAATCTGTAAAGGCTGTATATAATTTTAATTTGAGGTATTTTAGACATTTTAGATATTGTACAGATGAATGTAATTCTCACTGAATTTAATAACTAAATGTATATTTTAAGATATTAGGGATCCAGTTTTATATAAAATTGTGATGGCCAATGGCCATATACAATAAACTTTATTCATTCTACTGAGGCCTGAGACAGCACCGGCCAAACTTCCATCTCTTAGGGAAGCGACACCTTTTGAGCATTTAAGCTTCTGTAGAACCATCAATGGGCGTGTGCGCGTGTGATTACTTTGGTTGTCCAAAACGCACGGCCCCTAAACCACATCCTGAATTCAGTAGCCTTTATTCATTCTACTGAGGCCTGAGACGGCACCGGCCAAACTTCCATCTCTTAGGGAAGCAACACCTTCTGAGCATTTAAGCTCCTGTAGAATCATCAGTGGGCGTGTGCGCATGTGATTACTTTGGTTGTCCAAAAGGCACGCCCCCTAAACCACATCCTGAATTCAGTAGCCAAAGTGGAGCCTTCATTCTACCTTCTCACAATTCCACCTCCATCTTGGGTAGGGGCCGTGGCTTAATGTTTAGAGCACCTGCTTTTCATGCAGAAGGTCCCCGGTTCAGTCCTCAGCCTCTCCAGGTGAAATGACCAGGTAGGAGGTGACGTGAAAGGCCTCCGCCTGAGACGTGGGAGAGCCGCTGCCAGCCAGAGCAGACAATACCGATCTTGATGGACAAAGAGTCTGACTCAGCAGACAGCAGCTCCATCTGTTTGCTCTGAGCAATCTCTGCGGATGTTGTTTAAACATGCTGGGTCCGCACAGGTCACCATCGTGGTCTTGGGCAACAAGTGTGATTTGCAGGAGCTGCGTCGCGTGGACCACGATGTGGCGCAGCACTGGGCCAAGGCGGAGAAGGTCAAGCTGTGGGAGGTCTCGGTGGCTGACCGCCGGACCCTCATCGAACCTTTCGTCTACCTGGCCAGCAAGATGACCCAGCCTCAGAGCAAGTCTGCCTTTCCGCTCAGCCGTAAGAACAAAAGCAGCGGTTCAGTGGACGGGTGAACCTTTAGGCATCCCGCCTGCCGTACTTTGTACAAATGCATGCAAGCAAGACCACCTTGACCATGAAGCAATAGGAAGCCAGCACCTTTGGGCAGCTGGTTCCAGGTGGAGCACCGTCATCTTTCCTCCAGTCTCCGTTTTTTAAAAGAGAGAACCCCAAGTCCGGAGCAGTGGGAATTACTTTGACTCTTTGACCTCTAAACACAGATATAGCCAGTAGCGTGTGTGTGGTCTGCAGCCAGCAGTTGCCAAGATGTATTTAGTGATAAAAATGGTGGCTGAATTACACTGATGGTTACATTTTTAACCCTTTCCTTTTGTCATCCTTTCACTCTTACTTGTCCGGGAGCCCAGGTAAGGGGTACTAAATCCTGCTCTTAATTGAGGACTCTGCCATGGCAAAGAAGAGACGGTTCTCGGAATGACTCCGTTTTGATGGTGGACCTGCTATCGATTGACGAAGAGGTTGGATTTATACCCCACCCTTCACTACCCAAAGGAGTCTCAGAGAGGCTTACAGTCTCCTTCCCCTCCCCCTCCCCACAACAGACACCCTGGGAGGTAGGTGGGGCTGAGAGAGCTCTCTCGAGAACTACTCCTGAGAGAACAGCTCTGAAAGAACTTGTGACTGGCCCAAGGTCACGCCAGCAGCTGCACGTGGAGGAGTGGGGAATCAAGCCCGGTTCTCCCAGATCAGAGTCCACGCTCCTTACCACTACACCAAACTGGCTGTCTTCCCTCTCTTCCACCAGCTACGGACAAAGGAAGGGTGCTGTGACATTTGTCCAGGTTGGAGGGGCAACGCGGTGGAGAAAGTGGAGAATGGAATACCCCCCCCCCGCCCAATATGGGAAGACCTTAATCCTTGACAGTTATCTGAAGGTGGCCTACTTGGCAAACCAAAGCAAAATTTAGAACAGGAACAGAGGATGTTTCCCTCTCAAGAGGGTAGATTCATCCGTTGGCTTAGAGCAGGGGTCCCTAACATGGGTGCCAACTGGGATAAAAAGGGGGGGGGGTGGAACTGGACCTAGAAACCTGGGATCCAGAACCTGAAAAGGTTAGTCAACTAGAAAAGAGGGCCAACAATAAAAACTAAATATATCTATAGTATATAAAAAGATACATGTATTTATTAACAAAGAATTAAAAAATATA